TCTCGAGAAATGGCATCATGTTCGCGCCTTTTCTCCCTCAGTACCATGCTTGTATAACTCTGCTCTATTCTACACGTCTCAAGCTACTTTTTCATCGATGGCCTATGCATTCTGCTCGCATACCAAAGTAGTTCAACTCGGCAAATCATCACTCATGATTCATGTTATCTTTGCTCATAGCGTTATATGCCTTATTTTTGTGCTTTCTTTTATTGCTTTTCATTCTTCATAAGTTACTCATAATCAGCACTGTGTCCCTTTAGACTCTATCATGGGTCGAGGGTTAAGGATGTGAGTGGGTATACACTACAAGTCGACTACACCCACACTCCAAAAAATCCTTAATGCTACCCAATAAAGAATGAATTGTCTCGTTCACGCTAGATATATAGATAGAGAAAAAGGTAGCTTGTGGATGAATACATTAAAAGCACTCAATAAGGAATTCTAAAAACTGCTTTTCTGAACTAAAGAATATTACAAGTATGTTTATTTCCGTCTATTCTATGAGACATGTCAATAAATCAAAGTGATTTCCATTTCAACTTGATTAAATCTGCTAAAAAAATGAAGAAAGTTAATGAAGTTGAAAGTTATAACTGCAGTTGATAGTTATAACTCAATTACCTTTTTCATTGAAAAGTTGATCAATTATAACTCAACTAGTTTTAACTCTCACACTGACTTGAACTTTAAAAAATTGTTTTCATTGCAAGCAAAAAGTTTTTCTAAATCGTCTTATTTGTTACGTGATATGTACGAGAACAGCCATTCTTGAGGATGAGAATAACGAATGTGAGATTTTTTCTTCTTTACTCATACCCTCGCAAACACCGGACAGAAAATTTCAATTTGAAAAAAAACACTTTTCCGATTTTACAAAAAGGATTCCTACCGAGTTTCTTTTTTATAAATTTGTTAACCAAAACATTCGTCAGAAAAAAAGAGGCAGCTTTGCATGCATAGGCATGTGGAACAGTGCGTCTAGAATAAAAACATTGACGAGAGTTCATTACTATGAAAAGAATCAGTATATAAATTATCATGATATGCACTAAAAAATTTGTTTTTGTAAAACTGCTTTTCATATTAGTTTATTATAGAGAGATTGAATGATTGCGAAGTTTTTATTGTCTCATAGATATAAAATATGCTCGCATTAATTATCTGTATAGTTTCACTAGATCGCCAGGAAGAATGCCTCATAGCATGTTTATAACTAAGATCATACATATTTAGTTTTCGCCAGTATGTCTGTTGCTCAATAACTCAATTGTTCGAGCTTGGATATAAGTAGATGTAATATGATCCTAAACAAATGATCAGCAACTATAGTTGCGTAAATTCCTCATAATAGACTATTTCATCAAAAGATATATCATTTGTTTAATTTATTTTGATATTTATAGTTGACAAAATGTTCCTACACTTAAAAATTAAAGATTATTAATAAATGAATTTCACATGTCAAAATTTAAATGGTTAGAAAACATATCAATGGTTCTTTTTATTAATGCACTGTTACACTAACACTTTTTCTGTTACATAATCATAAAGATAAGAAATTTTTGAAAAAGTTCGCTAAAGTGGATTAATAATAGCTAAATCATAGGAATCTTCATTATGTATTGCAAATACAATCAAAATAAAGATTTTTCAAAAAGACATCTTCATGATTCTTTTGAAAATAACAATGACTAACTATAGACAGATGTACCATGAACGTGACAACTATTTCAATAATTTATTAGTTTTATATTTTCGATTTCGGTGAAAATATTTCAAATAATTTTTAGTATAGCCATGCATGTTAATGTTTTTAGAAACTCAAAGTTTTCCTCTATCAGTCTTATCGACTGAATGTAATATTCTACGAAATAAGTAGCACTATTTCACTCTCTTATAATACCGATCGATTCTTATGTTCAAACACATACTGTTCCTAACCAATGGAATAACATTTATATATTATAATAGTTCGTTTTGTTGTATAGTTAATAAATTATCTCAGTAATACAGTTACCGTGTATTAAATGTATCAAAGATTTTAATTATATAGCTTGGATGGAATCTGAGTTTAACTTCTTAAATAAATAGTCTTTTTTAATTGATTCATTGATAAAGGTAATGCTAATCTATTCACAAAGAATGATGCGAGTATTCAATCCCTTAATATCAATTCCAGTCGTTGCTGACAAATTATTGATAGTTCGATTAAGCATACTACTATTAAAAAGTATCCAAGTTTTCAATACATTATCAAAATGTTCATCGACACATGATAATGAAAACGAAAACCATTAATGAAAAACAAAAAGTAATCTATATTCTTAGGATATTGTTTTCTTTCGATATCTTCCGTATACTTGGACGGAGAGATCGAATAGTCTGTTCTACTCTGCATAAAATGAAGCAGAGCCTGATTCTTGATTCGAGTAATATAATTTGATCTGCTTAATGAATTTGTATTTCCAATGTCAAGTAAACATGAAATTGAAGCATCCGACTTTATTTCAAAGTACAAATTTAAAACGTCATCGTACCATATTTTTTCATTGAATAAATACGACAACACCGATACAACTAATAACAAGATCAAAATAGAGAATAGTGATGAAAAAGCTGAATTCTGACAACTCTCATTTGTTGTTGTTCGTGGTGATGATGGTGTTGGTGTTGTTGACTCGGTATGCTTTTTTAAGATTTAATTAAGCAAAGCACCCAAGCGAGAACCTGTTTGAATGAGACGTTTTTCGACAACAGGCCAATTTCGTTCATAATATACATGGCTCAGTTGAAAGTACTCGTTGAATTCATTAGCATATTCGTTTCATCGAAATAAACTTGTTTACAAACAATATCTATACTTTCAGCAAGCCATTGCAGAAAATTATCATCATTCATTTCTACAGTTTGATTTAACATTTTCAAATAAAGACAATCATAATAGAAATTAATATTCGATTGAAATGTATTGCGTAGACGAAGTGACAATATACCTGTATCCCATAAAGAATGTAGATTAGTTGACGTGTTCATAAAACGACCTAAATTCATAGAACGAAAAGGAAACTTTTATTTCTTTATCATCAATAATAGTCACCTGTAATACCATTTCCACCTGCATCATCTTTAAAGCCAACATGTAACGGTTGATGAATATCACTAACAAAATGAACCAGAAAGAAAAAATCATGTTGATGTTGTACACCATTCTTATAAGTTATTTGTCGTGCGGAATAATTTTCCAATGCATCATAAGGACATATATCATCGATGCAATCTCTTTCATGTACATAATTACAGCTCCACGGAGGTATATTGATATAATGTAATGGTCGAGACCATTGCCACTAGCTAGAACCTAACAGATTGTTATTCGAATTATGAATACTATCCGCCCAAAAGGATATTTCACTCATGTCGCTCGTCAAATGAGCTCGCATCCATTCGATTGTTTTTCATCTAATTGACTTTGAACAAGATGAGCAAGAAGAGTATGGCCAAGATTACTCCATCCTTATAAATGTAATGTTACTGCGTATAAAATGAGAAACAACAGCAATGAAGACATTTGAGTGATACTCTTTTTTTCATTTCTTTTCCTTTGCACATACATAGGGCACTACAAAAGTTTTTTCATATAGCTCTTCTAGAAATGGTAATTTGAGGACATCTATTCCGCTATAATAATTAAACATATTTAGGACTATGTGCAAAATTTCAGCCGTCCACGCATTACCCATCGTGGTACTTTTTCTTTTTTTTTCATGTCACCCTCGCATCACTTTCGATATGAGTTTTCAACCCTCACGTGAACAATTTCGCACTATGATTTTATATGATTGGAAAATTGGCTTAACATATAAGGATAGCCATGCCCATTTGGTGCAAGCATGGAGGGAGCAAGCAACTTCTGATCACACAGTCTTCAATTGGTTTCGTGAATTTCAACGCGATAATTTTAGTGTTAAAGATGCTCCACGTTCAGGTCGTCCTTCAACATCTGTTAATGAACAAACAATTGATGCTGTACGAAAAATAATTGAAGATGATCCTCATTCGACATATCAGCAAATAGAAAACATTATTGGGTATCAGGTCCACAGCAATTAATTCGATTATTCATGATTATTTAAATCTAAGAAAAGTTTGTGCTCGGTGGGCACCACATAAACTAACCGACGACCAAAAACAGCTCCGAATTCAATTTTGCCACCCTTAGCTAAAGAGATTTGAAGAAGGTCAGTCTCGTTGTGTGTTTGACATTATAACTGGTGATGAATCTTGGTTCTACCATTATGATTCCGAATTAAAAGAACAATCAAAAGTTTGGATGTCAACAACTGATCCACATCCAACCAAAATTCATCGAACCAAAAGTGCCGGGAAAAGAATGGTGGCTATTTTTTTCATGAAATCCGGTTTAATTAAGTCTGTCCCATTAGAAACAGATGCAACAGTGAACGCAAGCTGGTATGTCAATACATGCTTACCACAAGTCTTCAAAGCTGCATCTGAACAAAGAGAAACGCGAGGTCTCTTCTTTCATGACGATAATGCAAGGCCGCATCGAGCTTGGATTACGAACGAATTTTTGCTGGAAAATCATGTTGAACAGTATCCAAATCCACCATATTCTCCAGATTTAAGTCCTTGTGACTTCTTCTTATTCCCGAAGCTCAAGAATCAGTTACATGGTATTCGGTTTAACGACGACAACGAAATGTTAACTGCTTTACAACAAGCCATTGACAGTCTCACGAAAGAAGACTTTAAAAACTGTTTCGAAGACTGGTTTATTCGAATGCATAAATGCATTGATACTGAAGGACAGTACTTTGAAAAAATAAATTAAAATCCTCCTCTGAATATTTATCCTAAAGGCTAGTGNNNNTAGCTCTCCCCTATCTCTGTTGACGGCCGACCTTCAGCACCTTGTTGAGTGTTAGTTGCATGCAAGCGCAACAGCTGATGATTTTCGTACGATCTAGTATAGTTTGCATTTGCACCAATTGTCACGAATAAAACAAGAACGATGAGAGAAGTAGGCAACACTCCCATCTTCATAGATGAAAACCGACCCATACCAAATGAGAATAGTATCATAAAATGGCTGCCTTTGTGTTGAGTTTTTACAGGTACTCTTTTTTTTATTCTTAAATATTATTCTTAATCCGAACAAACAAAAAAAGGCTCGTACTAAGAAAAAGCACATTGTATTTATCTCTTCGAAACACACGGTTCTCCTTTTATGCAATAACATGCCGATGATATTTACTTTTCAGAGGGATGAGCCGAAGAAAAGAGAAAGGAGAAAGAAAATATTCTTTAAATACCGTAAGAAGAGACAGAACGGGACAATATTGAAGATGTATCATGGCCAATGGTCATGATATTTTGTTACCTTTATAGATGCAGAGATGTCCAAAGAAAGATAATAAAAACAAAGGATTATATTCTTTTTGTCCTTGTCATCCTTACCGATTACAAACAGAAAAAGGTGACTTGATATTATGCAATGTAAAGTATGATCAGCATAACAAATGCATAGCGTCTAAGCGCTCGTAAAAATGTCAATTTTTTATGACCAAATATGATAGAACAGACCTACAGGATGTGTAGAAATATTTTTTCAGGGAAGTAACGCTATGATTTCAAATAACATCCATAACAAATTTTATACCAAATTCAAGCGCGTCAAACATGGGAGTTTTTTATGCTAAATCAATGGAGAAAAAACTGATTTCAAAAACTGAAATCAAGTTGAAATCAGCGTTACTATATATGTGTCAACTTCTCAGAATTTCAAGTACTCAATAAAAGAAATGCAAGAGTATCAACTTCTACTACTGTTTCTATTGACTTTGCCAAAAAAAAAAGAATACTGAACTAAAGATACATTTTGGAGCTGTGATTCTTCAATAATAAACTATACTTGATTAATATTCACATTCAACATTATATCGAATAATGCACAAATCACTCATTGTACATCGTTCTATACATGGGTGAAACGTGCCTAGATATTCTTCGGTTATCTTTCAACCTTGATATGTAGAAATTTATTTTCAACGATTCTATTGTACATGTTCTCTTTCTTATTTAATTAAATAAGAGGCAGGCATTTTTTTGCGTGTCATTTCTATCTTCATCTTCTTGAACGAACTTTGTCCATATCTTCATGTATTTGCTCCACGTTTCTTTATTTTCAATAAATTATTTCAATATGTTCAACAAGAACTTTGTCATACCAGATAACATTATGGAATTTAAAAACGAAGAATTTTTCGAATTTGTCAAACACTTTTCCGATGAGAAGATGACTATTCTCCTTAAATTTCAAGATATTACTAATGTTTAGTGTCTATTTGCTTGTGATGGTCCTTTAAAAATTTTATCACTTAATTCAATTGATTTACTTGATTTAAAAAAAGAAAATGTGCATGAAATTGAATAATAATTCGTTTCTTATTTTACTCTGAGTAAGATAAGAGGCAAACTGTATCTTTTAAAAAATTCATTAATGACAAAATGCAATTTGTTAAAAAAGCATCAAAAACATTTTCAAATAGTGTTGTAACAAATAGTTCATCTACAAATACTTATTAACTAATAATTCTAATAGTTCTGTAGACGGCTTTTGTGAGACATCGATGAATACTTCTTCATCGTTGAGTATTAGTTTCAAAACTGAAGCAAAAATTAAACAAAATTTGATCGAATCACTTAACAATTGATGTCAAAAAATGAAAGAAAATAATAAAAATCGACAAAGATTTCAACTCAAAGAAAATGCTGATTATGAACTTATTATTGATATCAATGGAGACAAGGTATTGATTAAATGTCAATGTGGCGCAACTTCAACATTAGGGCAGAAAGATGATACTTATATTGCAAGTCACCTATTTTCAAAAATTGTCAATTATTTTACAAAAAAATGGCAGAGAAACACAGTGAATAAAGTGTTTGTATATAGTTTTGTAAAGAACGTTATCAAAATACATAGGGCACTACAAAAGTTTTTTCATACAGCTCTTCTAGAAATGGTAATTTGAGGACATCTATTCCGCTATAATACTTAAACATATTTAGGACTATGTGCAAAATGTCAGCCGTCCACGCATTATCCATCGTTGTACTTTTTCTTTTTTTTTCATGTCACCCTCGCATCACTTTTGATATGAGTTTTCAACTCGCACGTGAACAATTTCGTACTATGATTTTTTATGATTGGAAAATTGGCTTAAGATACAAGTATAGCCATGCCCGTTTGGTGCAAGCATGTGGGGAACAAGCACCTTCTGATCACACAGTCTTCAATTGGTTTCGTGAATTTCAACGCGATAATTTTAGCGTTCAAGATGCTCCACGTTCAGGTCGTCCTTCAACATCTGTTAATGAGCAAACAATTGATGCTGTACGAAAAATAATTGAAGATGATCCTCATTCGACGTATCAGTAAATAGAAAACATATTGGGTATCAATTCCACAGCAATTAATTCGATTATTCATGATTATTTAAATCTAAGAAAAGTTTGTGCTCAGTGGGTATCGCATAAACTAACCGACGACCAAAAACAGCTGTGAATTCAATTTTGCCACCATTCGCTGAAGAGATTTGAAGAAGGTCAGTCTCGTTGTGCATTTGACATTATAACTGGTGATGAATCTTGGTTCTACCATTATGATCCCGAATTAAAAGAACAATCAAAAGTTTGGATGCCAACAACTGATCCACGTCCAACCAAAATTCATCGAACCAAAAGTGCCGGGAAAATAATGGTGGCTATTTTTTTCATGAAATCCGGTTTAATTAAGTCTGTTCCATTAGAAACAGGTGCAACAGTGAACGCAAGCTGGTATGTCAATACATGCTTACCACAAGTCTTCAAAGTTGTATCTGAACGAAGAGAAACACGAGTTCTTCGAGGTCTCATCTTTCATGACGATAATACAAGACCGCACCGAGCTTGGATTACGAACGAATTTTTGCTGAAAAATCATGTAGAACAGTATCCAAATCCACCATATTCTCCAGGTTTAAGTCCTTGTGACTTCTTCTTATTCCCGAAGCTCAAGAATCAGTTACGTGGTATTCGGTTTAACGACGGCAACGAAATGTTAACTGCTTTACAACAAGCCATTGACAGTCTCACGAAAGAAGACTTTAAAAACTGTTTCGAAGACTGGTTTATTCGAATGCATAAATGCATTGATACTGAAGGANTTGATTATGATGTTCGGCATGATGTTTCATATACATATATAGATTTTACTTATATTTTACTTTCGTTTGAATCTAGTATTTCTGAACCCGTTTGTATAGTTTTCGTAGCATTGAGATGCCATCTTTCTGTATCTCAAGGGTTATTCATGTTTTCTACGTTTCTTTTTGTCATCTACCGTAGTACATAGGTATTCTAACATTTCCTTTTCTTTCCATTTTTTTTGTGAGACTTCATGGGAGAATTATGTGAAAAATGAAAAGGTAACCATCTAATCTTTTTCGTTTTCTTTTTTACCTTTAATTTAAGCGTGATCAAAATGATAAATGTTTTTTAAATAAAAATAAATTTAAAAAATAGATGTATAGTTAAAGAAAATAAATAAAAGAAAATTTCTTTGAAATCGCGATAATACCAGATCAGATTGGCGATAAAGCTATAGTTAATATGTAAAAAAACGGGAAACAACTCGCGATTTATCGTAATAATCACTAAAAATATTATTAAAAATCCGCGATTAATCGCGTTTCAGCTCACGATTATCGTTTCGATATATCACGATTAATCGCCAATTTTTCAGCGATTTTTAGGACATGGGTTTTCTCTCCCTGTTAAGGTTGTTACATATAAGTAACATGCCTGTGAACATGTGACTTCGCATAAGCCAATTTTTTCTAATTAATCGACTGTAAAATGTCAACCAAGAACACGACGATTAAAGGAACAGCACAAGTAAATAAAACTGTGTTAGAGGATAGACGTGATGTTGAACTAAACTTCTTAAAAGAAAGGGAAAAGAAGATTATCCACTGATGACATCTTTAAATAAAAATGAGCAAGGAAAGAAATGTGGTCGAACGATGAGTGACAATGAAAATTATTTCCATTTTGCACGTAATATTACTCCAAAACGATCAAGATCAATAATTCATAAATCATGTTCAATTACCAATTCGTTCATTACAGCGACAACTATATCCAACAACAACAACAACTTATGCTTGAGAATGGACAATTGAAATAACCAATCTAATAATGAAAATCAAGAGATGAATAATATTCAGAATAATGAACGGAGTTTTAAATTTAATATCACTAAATATGCCATTAGATATGCATTTAATAAAACACTACCTTCTATTAAATTCATATGTGTACCAAAAATCAATAATAAAAAAGATGATGGAAATATTACTGAAAGCTGGTTTATTGATTATAAAGGTAACATTTGTGGTGTTACTGATGATATAGATAAATTTGTATTTCTAAGTAATATAAGCATATCCCGAGTAAATATTAACTACAAAAATTACTCCAATTTTGACTAAAAATCTTCCTCCGCAACAATCGATCATCATTAAAGGTCTACCTTATACATTAACTATTGGTGATTTAAAATTAGAAATTAATATGATGAATTTATCTGAATATAAACAAATACTGAATGCTGGAATGATTTCTATTCAGGGTCAGTTTCTACATGTGTTGGAGTACTTGGCTACACTTCGATTTCTATTCTATTCCATGTGCAGCATCCAAGGTCATATAAAACAACAATCTAATTATTCTTTTGAAAGATGTAAAAGATGTGATAAGAATAGAAAGGAAGGTGAACATAAGGCATGTATAGTTATTTGTCATAATTGCAAATGTGATCACGTTTCAACAGATTTTAGATGTTCAGCTGTTTAATGCTATCGAAAAGAATTTTTTCACCATTTTCAACAGCACCTTGAATTACTACATGCCAGTGCTCAATGTTTTATTCCTCGCAATTACGCCAACAAGGTGAAGAATTAAAAACATCTGTAAATGATTGTCTGGAAATTAGAAAAATACATAATCTATCTGTATGTCTAATTACGACTAAATCCGATGAAAAAGAATACGCGAATATGATAGAATAATTATCAACAATACCATTTGATGATTGTCAATCTTCCACTAACAAGATTTTTTCTACTTATACACCACTCATCGACGAAATCACGATGAAAATTATGGAAGGTACAAAAGTTCTCATGATCTCCAATGATTCAGAATGTTTTTTGTTACTGATCGCCTTATATTAATGAAGAACCTATCAATTTATTTCAAGCAACTCACAAAGAAAAACATGAATTAAAACAACTGACTTAAGAACAAGTATGTCCAATTTGTTCAAAAAATGGTCTAAGATCATACCTAAACATAATGAACTAAATCTACTCTTTTTACTGTATAAGGTAAATTCATCGAATATTCATATTGCTGATATAGACATTATCATTGATAATCACTCCCCACCAAAAATGTGCTATAGCCGAGATAGATAACACTGTAATGAAAAAGATGCCCCAATTACCAGTTTATAATCCAAGAAGGAACTAATAGATTTGGCGATGTTGCTATTTTAATTCACTAATCTATTAAATATCTAGAAACAACAAGAGATATGAATCATCTCCTAATTGAAATTGAAACTGCTCTTGAACCGACATTGATTGGTGCTGTTTATATTCCATCTAGCTCGATTCCTTCCTTTCGCTTTTTCACAAATATACATAGGGCACTAGAAAAGTTTTTTCAAAAAGCTCTTCTAGAAATGGTAATTTGAGGACATCTATTCCGCTATAATACTTAAACATATTTAGAACTATGTGCAAAATTTCAGCCGTTCACGCATTACCCATCGTTATACTTTTTCTTTTTTTTTCATGTCACCCTCGCATCACTTTCTATATGAGTTTTCAACTCTCACGTGAACAATTTCGCACTATGATTTTATATGATTGGAAAATTGGCTTAACATACAAGGATAGCCATGCCCGTTTGATGCAAGCATGGGGAGCAAGCACCTTCTGATCACACAGTCTTCAATTGGTTTCGTGAATTTCAACGCGATAATTTTAGTGTTCAAGATGCTCCACGTTCAGGTCGTCCTTCAACATCTGTTAATGAGCAAACAATTGATGCTGTACGAAAAAGAATTGAAGATGATCCTCATTCAACGTATCAGCAAATAGAAAACATATTGGGTATCAGTTCCACAGCAATTAATCCGATTATTCATGATTATTTAAATCTAAAAAAAGTTTGTGCGCGGTGGGTACCGCATAAACTAATCGACGACCAAAAACAGCTGCGAATTCAATTTTACCACCATTCGCTAAAGAGATTTGAAGAAGGTCAGTCTCGTTGTGTATTTGACATTATAACTGATGACGAATCTTGGTTCTACCATTATGATCCCGAATTAAAAGAACAATCAAAAGTTTGGATGTCAACAACTGATCCACGTCCAACCAAAATTCATCGAACTAAAAGTGCCGGGAAAAGAATGGTGGCTTTTTTTTTCATGAAATCCGATTTAATTAAGTCCGTTCCATTAGAAACAGGTGCAACAGTGAACACAAGCCGGTATGTCAATACATGCTTACCACAAGTCTTCAAAGCTGTATCTGAACGAAGAGAAACACGAGGTCTTCGAGGTCTCATCTTTCATGACGATAATGCAAGGCCGCATCGAGCTTGGATTACGAACGAATTTTTGCTGGAAAATCATGTAGAACAGTATCCAAATCCACCATATTCTCCAGATTTAAGTTCTTGTGACTTCTTCTTATTCCAGAAGCTCAAGAATCAGTTACGTGGTATTCGGTTTAACGACGACAACGAAATGTTAACTGCTTTACAACGAGTCATTGACAGTCTCACGAAAGAAGACTTTAAAAACTGTTTCGAAGACTGGTTTATTCGAATGCATAAATGCATTGATACTGAAGGACACTACTTTGAAAAAATAAATTAAAATCCTCCGCTGAATAATTTATCCTAAAGGCTAGTGAAAAAACTTTTGTAGTGCCCCACGTAGAAATAATTTGATTGGAAATCAGATTGCCTTATGGTTAGAGCAAACAGGAAGTGAAATGATCATTCCTGAAAAATCTACATCACGTAGATTAAATGCTTTAACTGATTTTTGGAGTAACTCATGATGCTACAGGCTGGTATACAGAAGTACTAGATGAAGAAACATTGGAATATCTTCCGATCATTATGCAATTTTTTCTATGCATATCGCAGTCAACATGATTTAGATTGAACATTCGGAAGATTTTTAACTTCATCCTCTAAATCGTAGATGAGGGTCAAGGCGGCAATGGTATACAACTATAATGAACAATTCTTCTTCACTCACTTTTCTACATTTCTTGTGAATATTTGTGATAGAACTAATACCTACAAGTCAACTAACCAATATTATCCTTCATAGCCGTAGCACCTCATTACTATAACGAGAAAAGTAAATAGAAGTAGATGTAGATATCGATGAAATAAATGAACAAAAACTCCTTATGACTTTCCTAGACTTTAAGACTTTATTCGAGGAAGAATGCTTCAACCTAATTCAACGAAAATATGAATCTAAATGAAGTGGATATCGAAAGACGAAAACATATGAAAGATATCACCAGTACATAAAAAATGTATCTCAGTTTACGAACAAATTTTTCACCTCCTAAATATGCCGCTTAAAAACATATTTTTTTGATTAAGCTTCTAAGAAATGTATGAACACTTTCCCGAAAAAATCAACGAATATTATCGATATTTTAGCATTCTTGTTAAAAAAGCTACATGTAGTACACATTAATATAATAACCATACCGTTCAATCGATGTTTATTGACAGGTGAATTATTTTCTATTGTAAAGCATGCTAAAATTATATGTATTTCCAAAGCAGAGATATATGCCTTCTCCAAACCTACGTCTAATATCATTACTTCGAAATTTTCGGAAATGCTTGGAAAGAGTTATTCAAAACCATATTCTATTATGGTGTATAAATAACAACATATACGTAGATGAACAATCAGGTTTCTCTCCCGATAGAAGAGACTACAAATGAGAATCGTTGTAGTTATTGAAGAACTGAGATTTATAATAGCTGCCAATAATAGACCTGTCCTGGCATTACTTATTGACTTCCTATTAACATTCGATAGTATGTCGATTTTCTATCTGATTAGAAATCTACATGATTTAAATATACCTTTACAAATTCTGAAATAAACTTTTAATTGCTCAAAGGAT